AGTGGGCCGAAATAACGGTGCGTGGATAATTTCTTTGTGATGGGATGTTTTTGTTAGTGTAGCCTCCTGTCGTAACGAGTGGTTAGGTAGGGAAGGTGGAGGGAGACGTTGAGCAAACAATGCTCAGATGACTCTAACATAGTGCACTCTGCGGGAATGTTCCAGTGGAAAATAGTAAAATCAAGAGTTCGAGCAAGTTTAGAGCAGTTCCGTGGGATTTAAGGATACGGTAGGGGATATTTAAAGGACTTATGGCTATCTAGGATGTCAAAGATCTTCATCTATCATTTGTGTACACTATCCAGAAAGGCAAACTCTTTGTGGCGATAGTGTTAGTCATCAAAAAAAAGCCGCATCAATCGATAAGAATCAACGGAAGACGTCAGGCAAAGCGCCGAAAAAATCACAAAGAAACTCTACAAAAAATAGCAACTCACTATGGCTCGAAGGGTTCCCTTGACCTTGAGGCCAACGCCAGTGTCAAAATAGATCTGCACACCGGTCTCAATCGTCAAAGTGGCGCCAAATTCTACAGTCAAATCGCTGGTAACCCTATAGGGTGAGTTTCGAAAGAATAGCGTAATATTATTCGAATAAACTCCTCCAAGAATATTTTGAATAGGTTGACGAGCTGGCATTAGGCCAGGGTCGATGACCACTTGGCCCTGGGCCAATGCCCCACCTAGGAGGGGTAGAAAATAGATTAAAATTTCGTAGTGGACCAGCATTTTTGCCTCATGTAGTACAGGTGACGGGTGGCACCAGCTAGCTGGGGGCCTAGTAATGTGGGAATATGTGAACACCTGAACGGATGAGTCAGAGCACACCTAGGAGCATACACACACACAGTGAACAGACGGGGGGTCCGATCGATTACGACGGGGGCGGTCCGCAGGAGGTACTATAAGGGGGGTAAGCTCCTAACGATAGGTGTTAGTGACCGTTGTCCGTTTGAGGTAGGCGAACGAGGCGAACGAGGTGAACGAGGCAAGCGGGGGTGGAGCCGGGGTTGGCGCGTTGCCAAGAGTGACCCCACCACACATCAAGGACGTCGACGCCCGGGTAGCAGGTCCCATCATTACTCCCTAACCTCCTGCATTGCTACAGTGTCTCCACCGTAGATACACACAAAGCGCACAGGTATGTGTTTATTGTCTCTGCTTGTC